AGATGCGACAGCTGACGATGTCCGTCGTATGCTCCATAACAGGGTGATGCAGGCGCGTGACTTCCGCTGCACGTTAGTGAAAATAGGCTTGCGGTGATTCTCCCGCCCCCTCATTCCCCCTACCGGGGCTGGGTGTCAAAACAAAGTAAAGAAGACTGGATGTGGGGGAGACCGCAGGCCTGTGGGTAAACACAACCATAAAAGCACAACAGAGCAGGGGACGGTGGCTGAGATCCCAGTTGACTGGGAGTGCCAGAAAACGCCACATTATAAGGAAGCGATTTCAGCCTGACTCTCGCTCCGCGAGTCAACCACTCCACTGGACTGACCGCGTGGTGTCCGAGTTTCCCGTCAATTGGCAACCTTCCAAGCTACGGCCTTTAGCGCATCGTGATAGCCACAAGTGCGTCAGATTGTTTATAAGGAGGAAAATGTGCTGAGCCGCTGACCTCACTCTCTCCCTCACCGCCAGCATCAAGCCATTGGCCGAGCCGGTCAGTCGTCTGCTGCGGGGCAGGGTGCAGTGGCTGTTCATGCTCTGCAAAAAAATGAACTGGCGTTTGTTTCACACGTGATCCTGCAATTGGCACACAACACTTATGGAATGATGGAGCGTGAGAGATCGATATTGTTCCAGTCTCTGGACCGTATAATTCAACTCATGTTCTTCTTACCACTCTGTTGGTTAGCGTGGTGGTTTGATGGCTGTGTGTGTAATAGTTTTGCAGAGGTTTGATTACGTTCTACTTTCTGCCGCACGAAAAATATGTCCTAAAACCACTGAATCGTTTAAGCACCTTCACAGTTCTGCAAGACCAACTCGGGTCCGATGGTTTAAATGCTTGTTCAGTTTGACTTATGCGAAAATAGCAGGTAGACTTGGGTAACCCCTCCTTTTCACGTCAGAATGAATTACAATAGCGAGTATTAATAAATAACCTCACTTTAAAGAGTGTGCGTTTGTGAATTATCGTCGCCCCCTCCCCCCCCTCTTGAGAATACTGTTTTTAAAGGGCGAAATTGACACATTTCTGAAGCAAAACTGGTGTCGCGTCAGTAGGATAGTGGTCTCTTCTACTAGAAGCTGATTGGACTATGTATGCTTCCGTAACCGACGGCCGCAAGGATTCAGTGGCTGTTAGCGGCACTTAGTGGCCTTTCCTGTCGTTCCTCGTCCTAAAGTTGAATCTACTGGCTGGACAACGACATGAAACCAGCGCGATAACGACAGAGAGTTAAGCGGGCGAACGTTGTCGTTTATTAATCATCAGGCAACTTCAATAATTAGGGTAGAGTTAACAAAAGTTCAAATAATCAATCAGAAGTAAATAGGAGAGAGGTGTTAAGGGATAAATGGGTCAGATTCTAGTCATAATTAGGGACCGGGTAGGGGGAGAGGGGTCCGGCATGAGGGCTAAGTTTTGCTAGCGGAGAGCCTAGGGACGCAGCTTTCCGTTGGTGTTCAGCGTTTCGTCGTTTCTAGTCCGCAGGCGTAATTATTCGCCTGCAAGTACCGCGTCAAGGTAACTCGCCTTTACTTTTAGCCTTCACTAACCCGTTGACTCCTCTAGTCAATCAGTGATGCCCACATATTGCCAACCAATCAGCTGACGCCGACGCAGTTACTCGCTCTCACCTGTT